TTTGGAGTCCAGGTCAGGATTAATCTAATCTGAAAAATAAGTCCCTGGGTTTCCAGTCCTTTCATCAGTTGCTGCCTCCCAGCTCTCTGTCTGTAGCAGAGTAGTACCTGTCCTTGGAGTGGATCAGTTAGTATCAGTTAGTATCAGTTAGGGGTGTAAAATGCTTGTTTTAAAGCTATCTGGTTCTCTTGGTAGCTAGCGTCTCCCTTCCACAACAAGACTTCATCCTTGGAGCGGCTGGGGGAGGAAGATGATGAGGACGAGGATGATGACTTGGACATCTTTGGAGGTTATGACAGCTTCCGGGGCTACAACAGCAGCATGGGCAGTGACAGCAGCTCGTGCCTGGATGAGTCTAGTGATGATGAGGTGGTGGACCGGGAAGTTGGAGAGCTTCCTACCTCCCCTCTGCACCAGCACCCACCCTCCACAGGCCGAATGACGGAGGACAGTGGCGCTGAGCCAGGTACTGTGCTACCTTCCCACTCCTGAAGCACGTGTGTGATGGGGAGCCCAAGGGCTGGAACTGTGCTGGGGGAAGCCAAAGGGCATGGGATGGCTTCTTGACTATGGTTTGGGAGTAGACCTGGCTTGAAACTAGGTTTTATGGGTTACCAGGGGAACTGCTAGGTGCAGACAGGGCTACCTGGGCTTAATCTCCTAGATCAGACTACTCCTCTTGGTAGCTGATCAACCCTGCCAGCTGCTCACATTTCATTTTTTTCGTGCCTTCCCGCTTCTGCCAGCCGTGTGCGAGATGTGTGGCATTGTGGGCACCAGGGAGGCTTTCTTCTCCAAGACCAAACGCTTCTGCAGCGTCTCCTGCTCCAGAAGCTACTCTTCAAACTCCAAGAAGGCCAGCATCCTGGCCAGGCTGCAGGTGAGTCAAAGTCTTCTTTTTTATTATTTTTAATTTTTTAACAGGGATAAAGCAGATGGGCCTGTGCACAGCAGGGGTGCTTGCTGCCTAGTGAGACAGCTGACAGTTACCATTACCAGTGCCTTGTAGTTCTGGCTTGTGAACCCCCAGAGAAAATGTGCCAGCTGAAAAATGACACTTGCTAGAAGGTTTCAGTTATGTGTACCTGCTGTTTCTTACTTCTTTGAGCATTAGTAAAAATTGCAGTGATCTTAAAATCATCCCAAGATAGAGGTTTCCCCCCTGCTGGCGAGCTGCAGGGCTTGGCTCCCTTTCTTGTGCTCCTCGGTTCTAATTTTCCTTCCTTTTTTAGGGGAAGCCACCAACGAAGAAAGCTAAAGTCCTGCACAAGGCGGCCTGGTCTGCCAAGATTGGGGCCTTCCTGCATTCTCAGGGCACGGGGCAGCTAGCAGATGGGACGTTAACGGGCCAGGATGGTGAGTGTGGGTGATGCAGGAGGTGGTGCAGCTGGGAGAGGCTCAAAAACATGGACTCCTTGAGGGCTGTAAATTCTGCAGTCCTCTCCCTCTCGACTGTGTACAGCCTTACACCAAAGCCATGTGTGTGGCTCACTCTGACGCAGGGCATCAGGGCCATGTGCTCAATGCCTCTCCTGCAACCCTCTCTCACCTCATGTTCTTCTCTCATGTGCCCTCACAGCACTCGTCCTGGGCTTTGACTGGGGAAAGTACCTGCAGGAACATGGCTTCAAGGCAGCTCCCGTCAGCTGCTTCAAACATGTGAGTCCTCCTCCCTCGCCGGGCCTTGTGTTGCGCACGGGGTACGCATGCGCGGGGCTCTCCTCTCCTCCCCTCCTGACAAGCGGTGGGGAGAGGCTGGGGCAGCAGGTTACTGGGCCCCAAAGGATTCAAGGAAGGAAGTTGGTGGCTCCTTCCTGCTGGGGATCAGTTTTGTGAGGAAGTATATGGGGACTCGATAGAAGCACTACCAGGGTTGATGGGTCAGTCTTAGCTGATGACAGAACCAGTTCTGGTGCCTGTGGGTCAGGTAGCAGAAAGTTCCTGCTGCTTTTGCATGTTGTCTAGGGGGTGGGGGCACCCCAGAATGATATGCAGGGAGGAACTCACCTCATCTGGATCTGGCAGCAGCTGCCCCTCCAACAGGTCCGTTTTCTGTAACATTGATTTGCAATCCTTGAGGGCCAAGTAGCCAAGGTACTTCAGTGGAAGAGTGGTGATCCTTGAGTAATATAGCAGCCCTGTCCTCTCTGCATATTCAAACTTACTTTTTCCACTCCTTTTGAGCCGCAGTCTGCAGTGTAGTATTGACAAAACTTTGTGCATCTTGAGGATATGTCAAGAGAACATGGCAGTTTTCCTGATGAATAAGGGCCTGGATGCTATGTAGCAATGGCAACAGCTACTTTGGGATAATAGGAGAGTTGGCAGTGAAGTGTTGCTATGCAGTTTTCTGTCTTTGGGGATGCTACACCAGCGATTCACTGGGATGACTAGGACAGATCATTGGTGTTTCTGGCTATCAGTGCATTGGGGAAGGGCAAAGCATATGAGCGTGGTGAAAGCATAGCTGCCTAGAACATGGCTTTGAATGGGAGAACAAGCCTGAGCCCTGCTGTGACTGTAAATCTCTTCCTCCCTTCATGGCTGCCTCAATTCCTCAGGTGCCACTCTTTGATCAGTGGGATGACGTGGTGAAAGGTATGAAAGTGGAAGTGCTGAACAGTGACGCCGTGCTCCCCAGCCGAGTGTACTGGATTGCCTCTGTCATCCAGACTGCAGGTACACCTCCAATATGGCTCCAGTGGCCAGGCATAGCAAACTTCAAGGAGAAGCTTTACAGAGCTGAGGATAGCTGGTTAGGCAAAATACTAGCTGTTCGGAGCTCCACATCTGCTGAGAGGTCTTAAAATTGGAACTCTCATGGTTTGGGGTGGAAGAAAACGAACATCTGGATGTTCTTCCAATTGCTGGGCTCTTTATGGGTGTGGCTTTGCTTCCAGGAGGAAGGGCGGGAGAAGCCCTGATAACCTGTGGAAAGCCATGTGGTAGGGGATGAGCCTGTGGTGCCCAACAGGGAGAGGAGAAACGCTTGTTAATGCCTTTCTGTGATTGTCTGCTCTGTCCTGGCAGGATACAGGGCCCTTCTGCGATACGAGGGCTTTGAGAACGATGCGGGCCACGATTTCTGGTGCAATTTGGGCACAGTGGATATTCATCCCATTGGCTGGTGCGCCATCAACAGCAAAATCCTGGTGCCACCACAGAGTAAGTGTGACATGAGAGGTCAACACGTATCTTGGTGTGAAGTCTTGGTTCATCTCTAGCAGTAGACATTCCCATCACATGTGGGACTGCAGCTCCATGTGTACTTGAGTTTTAAGAGACATTTAGTCTTCTGGAAGCATGGGGACTTCCCCTGCATCTCCTTGTGGCTGTCCCAAAGGGCACTAGATGCGGATCTGATGTCGGACCTGTGGCCACAGGCTAATGCAGGTGCCTCGTGACCCACACAGTGGCCAGACATAGCCTTTGGGGGAACTCCGTGGCCCTATGTTCCTGCCATATGACTGGGAGTATGCTGGCCGTGGTCCCCGCTCAGGGAGCAGACAAGAAATGTTAATTGGGCAGGATTCTGGCAATGCTGAAGTGCATTAGGTTAAACTTGTGTGTTTTGCTGCAATATCACTTCCTGTCTCATCCCGGGAGCTGGGTCTCTGCTCCTTGTATTTGGGGGCAGTAACGTGGGGGCAAGCTCACAGAGTCCATCTGCCTGCGAGTAGGTACAGAAGCTGGATGTGAGGAAGGCCTTTTAGTGCAGATGGACTCTTCTCAGAGAGGAGGAAAGATCTAGCACCACGTTAAAACTCCGACTGGCATAAAGATGCACTTTTTATCCTGTGCTTGTACAGGTATCCATGCCAAGTACACAGATTGGAGAGGTTACCTCATGAAAAAGCTGGTTGGAGCCAGGACCATCCCTGTGGATTTCCATATCAAGGTAAATGCAGAAGACTGTTTTGTGTGGAAAAAGAACTCGGAGATGTGTGGAACGACATCTCTCCTGGTGCTGTTCTCTGCAATTCCTGGCTAGGAGAATGGCTGCAGGGGAGGAGAGGGGGGAGCAGTGAGTGCTTGGGCATGCTCAGAATATGCCTGTCACAGTGCTGTGGGAAATGGCACAGTCCCCTGGCCCTGCGAGCACACTAGTTTCTCCATTGAGACACAGAAGGATGTAAAAGCTGTTGTCGCATAGTTGCTGCAAAATACCAAGAATTTGTTTTCTTTTGCCCAATGGGAGAGACCAGTGGAGTTCCGCCTGGCGTAATTCTGCCCTGTTCCAGGGCTATGCAATCAAAAAGCCTGTTCTGCAGCCTACTGGGGAGTGAGGGGCACAGAAACAGCTGTGCAAGTGGCCCTCGAGCTTGGCAGCTCTTGTGGCAGTCCCACCTAGTCCACATGGAGGTTTGGTGTCCTTCAGGCAGAAGTGGGAGGAGAGAGTCTCCCCTAGCTGGTAGCTTTAGGGAACTGCAGATAAGGAAGATGGCCCCAGGGGTGGCTGGCAAGAAGGCAGGTGATGGCATTTGGCTCTGTGCAAGGTAACTGGTAACTCTGCAATTCAGGGAGTTGGCCAGGATGTGTGTGGGGAAAGCTGCACTGTGAGGTGTTTGGAGGAAGAAGACTCCACAGGTGACTGATCTCCCCTCCTTATTAACTGTTGCCAGATGGCGGAGAGCATGAAATACTCGTTCCGGCAAGGCATGCGGGTGGAGGTGGTGGACAAGAACCACGTGTCCCGGACTCGCATGGCTGTGGTGGACACGGTGATTGGGGGCCGGCTGAGGCTCCTCTATGAGGACGGTGACAGCGATGATGACTTCTGGTGCCACATGTGGAGCCCTCTCATCCATCCTGTGGGCTGGTCACGGAGGGTGGGCCACAGCATGAAGAAGGCAGGTAGGGATCAGATCACCACGGGCAACTCCTGATTTGCAATGAGCTGCCTGGACTCTGCCGTTGGTTCCAGTCTTGACATGCTGGGAGCCAGGCAGTTGCTTTGGGACTGGGTGGATAAGGTCTGTCACACAGCTGCTGCTTTTCCCCTGGGATAGACCCAAAGCTGAAATCATATCACCGGTCCAGGCACAGGGATTGTAGAGTTTCTCACCTGAAGCAGGTAGTCTGGCCCTGTATTGTGAGAGTGCCTAGCCTGCAACATCAGATGTTTATGGGCTTTTTAAGAAAATTCACCATGGTTTCTGTAAGACTGGGTACCACCAGCTTCTGTTTTTCTGAGACTTTTTTCTGGACTTAACATAAGGATTCTTGCTTAGAACAGCTTGCTTCTGGCTTAGTCTGCCAGTAAAAGCCAGACCAGAGCTCTGGAGCTGCTCACCTTGTTGAGTCTTTTTGTTTTGTCTCCTCCGTTTCCTTGCTGCCACTCCCTGGTGATCATAGCTGCATGTAGCAGTGTTACCACTGTGCCCAGAAAGATCAGCTTGCTTTTGAGCAAGCTCTGCCTCCTGGGCCCTCTTATGGGAAGCTGTGGATGGACTGACATGTTTGTTCTTTTTATTACTCATATGGTCCCTGCTCTAGCTCTTCTATAGCTGCTAAACTCTCACCAGGTAATTAATAGACAGACACTTTCTCACTGCACTTGCTTCAGGTTTTGCTTCACCTCTTTCTTCTGTTCCTTACAGAGGAAAAGCGCAGCGACATGGCCAACCATCCCACCTTCCGCAAGATTTACTGCGATGCCGTCCCCTACCTCTTCAAAAAGGTAAGACAACACTTGCTTTCTGTGCTGGCCGCAGCAAAGGAAGTGAGGGTACGACTTCCTCCTCGGGTATATGGTGCTCTGGGGTTGCTGAGGGGACTTGCTTGTCCCCTTTCAGCTATGGGACAGTGAGGTAACTGGGTGTGAAGGCTCAGGCTTGGCAGGGTGAGGGAAAAGAGAAAGATGGAAGAACCAAAAGCCAATACCAGGTTGAGGGATTCAGCTGAAGGGCGAGCAGCCGCTTGGAGGTCAGAGTGGGTGAGGGAAGATGTTTGCATCGGAGAGACCAATTCAGACAAGGGGTTGGATTGAATAGGTGTAAGGACTAAGACTGTGAGAAGGCTTACTTTGGGTGCTGAGCTCTGTGACTGGCCAAGACTTTGGCAGGGACTGCTCATACAGAGACAGCACTGGGTTGGTGCCTTCTTGGTTTTTCTTTTTTCTTTTGTCCTTTCTCTCCCTTTCCAGCTTGGACTGAGCCAACTAAAGAAGCTCTAATCCTGTTTAAGCTTGGGGTGGGTGGTGTGAGGGTGGGACTCTTCCACAGCACATGATATTCCTGGGGTCTCCCTTAGGTACGGGCTGTCTATGCCGAAGGCGGCTGGTTTGAGGAAGGCATGAAGCTCGAGGCCATTGACCCCCTCAATCTGGGCAACATTTGTGTGGCCACTGTCCGTAAGGTAAGCTTGACTGGAGAGCAGGGAAGGGGCTCTGCTGTGTGTACCTGAGACACCTCAGCCTCTCCTCAGGCCTTTGCAAACAGACAAGACTAGGGGGCAGTTCCTCTGAGAGAGGGGAGGGCTGTAAAGAGGGGCTGTCAGGCAGGTAGGCAGCAAGCGTGTGGGCTTTTAGCTCAGTGGCCTGACAGGCTAATGAGACCAGCAGTTGTCCATGCGTGCCTCAGAAGACAGCATGAAGATGAGCTTGCAGACCAAACATGCTCATCTTCATGCTGTGCAGTCAGCAACCACCTCTCCCTCAC